AAGAGGAACCCAAAGAGGCCCACAGCAAGACACATCATAATTAAAATGCCAAAGGTTAAAGACAAAGAGAGAATCTTAAAAGCAGCAAGAGAAAAGCAATTAGTTACCTACAAGGGAGCACCCATACGACTGTCAGCTGATTTCTCAACAGAAACCTTGCAGGCCAGAAGGGAGTGGCAAGAAATACTCAAAGTGATGAAAAACAAGGAACTACAACCAAGATTGCTCTACCCAGCAAAGGTATCATTTAGAACTGAAGGTCAGATAAAGAGCTTCTCAGACAAGGAAAAGCTAAAGGAGTTCATCACCACCAGACCAGCACTACAGGAAAAGCTGAAGGGTCATATTTAAGAAGAAGCTAATGAACAAAAAGAATCTGATGAACTAAATAGATCCAAACATATTGACACATGCAACAGACGATCATACTTCAGAGGAAGGAGGGAAGGGGGGTGGAGGGTGGGAAGAGATTAACCAAAGAAATTATATGCATATATGCATAGCCCACGGACACAGTCAATAACAGGGTGAAGGCCTGAGGAGGGGGTGAGAGCGATGTGGAGGGCGTCAATTGGGAGAAAAACATGTGACACCTGTAATACTTTCAATAATAAAGATTTTAAAAAAAGGCAAGAGATGTTACATATCAAATGTTTTTCATTAGAGGCAGCATTCCTTAATCACATAATGTCATGTGGGGCCAATGAACACAGTTGTTCAATAAACCAAACCTCTGGGTTCCTAATGAGTTGACACAGTAAGTACCATCAGGGCTCATGAAAGAAGCTAGAGTGCTTTTTAGTGCATCGCACAGACCGCTGATTTAGCCATTCTATAAAACAAGAAAATGTGAATGCTTTTCATCTTGGGGGCTGTGAGGCTGTGGACCAATATGGCAGGATCTGGTCTGGAGTGTCTGAAAAGACTTCTAGGTCCCAGTCCAGCTAGTGTAATGCACGCCTCTAGTATCTGTAATAGCTGATCTTAATATATCTGCAGATTTGCAAGTGTGAACCTAGTCTGCCACAGAACGAGTCGAAGAGTCTTTCTAAGAAGGAATGACAATTCTCTTTCATTCCGAATTTTCTTATTGCACATAGCTTTCTTGATTGCACCAAGGTAGAGGCAACACAGGTCCTAAAGGCTAGGTCTAAAAACAACAACAACAATCTGTGCTTCTAAAACAAGCCTCTGAAACTTACACCAATAAAAAGTTGATCACAAAAGATGTGCATCCCCCAAGGAAGGTATACTCTGCAGCACCCACTTACCATGTGGTCATGAAGGATAAGGGAGAGAGAAGAGCCTCCCAGGCGGCATAGCAGTCTTCAGAGAGCAACAGATGAGAGAGTTCCGTGCAGGTGTTAGTGACGGAATCCTCCCATTGTGAGGGCACAGGGGCCTCCCAATGCCTGTCCTTCATTGCTAAGGACTGGTGGCTGCTGTGTGTCTCCCATTCTTCTGAATGAGAAGTTTTATTGCCGTGTGACTTCACTATTGAATGGAGGAAGATAACTGCCAAACTCATTTTCAGCAGAGCTGGGAGGGGGATATGATTTAGTGATTCCACCATATAGAAAAAAAATAAAAAGAAATTCAGAGAATGATAAAAGAGCCCATCAGTGGCAAATCTCAGAAAGTACCAGCAAAAATCCAATTATGGAGGTAAGGGTCTCACCTTGAATTTCAAAAGAGATGTCTTTGCACCAGGTGTGGATATAGGTTGAAGAGGGAGAGCAGCAGAACCCCCTCACCCCCTTGAATTTAATCTGGTCCAGAAAAACAGATGAGGTAGAACTATTCATAGAAGAACACAGATGGGCCTGCTGTCTCTTTGGCAGCAGGAAAGGAGAGAGTGTTGGGATGTGCTACCTGAAAGGCTACCTGCTTCGCCCTGCTCTCCTCTCGCCAGCCCCATGGAAAATTCAGCAGATAGCTGGTACAGGAACATCCAGTCTGTTTGGTGTCAAGTATTTAAAAAAGAAACCGGCCCAGCATCAACATTAAGCTTCCATTAAAAAAAAAAAAAAAGTGAAAAGAGCAGCAAAACTTACCAATGGATGAAAGACAGTAGAAAAATGTCGCCCCAACCAGACAAAATTGTAAAGAACTATGAAGTAATCACCTCCAAGAATCTTCACAGAGAAACCACAAAGCAGAAATGCAAGGAATCAGGAAAAAAATACAGTGAGATGACAGTGAAGATGAAATGGGAGCTAATGGAATTCAGGAAAGAAATAGGAAGGAAAAAAATCCACTAATGATCACAAAATGAAAATGAAATTGGGAGGAACAGATGGCGGAATAGGCACTGTGAAGGACATCCGAAAAAGGAACAGAGAAGGTAAAATTACCAAAATGAAAACCAAATCTTCAGAGTTAAAAAGGCACAGAGGAAAATTACAGACATAAAATACAGGCAAAAAAGTGATAATATATGTGTAGTTGGAATCACTGCCAAAGGACAGAACTAACACCATACAACAGAGACAACGTTTAGAGGTGACAATCAAGAAAACTTCCCTGAAATCAAACAAAACCTAGTCGTGCTACAGATGAAAGAGAAAGACATATCTTTTACATAGACTAATAAAAGATCAAGTCGCTTACAAAAGGGATAAATATTGGGCCGACATGAGGTTTCTCCACAGCAGCATAAATATCAGAGGAAAGTGAAACAACACCTGCAAGACCCTGTAAAGACATGTGATCAAAGCTTTCATTTCCAGCCAAACCGCCATTCAAGGGGAAAGCTGCCATTCTGAACAACAAAGACCTCAGGGAATATTGCTCCCATGAGCCATTCTTTTTTTTAAAAATATGTTTTTATTGATTTCAGAGAGAGGAAGGGAGAAGGAGAGAGATGGAAACATCAATGATGAGAGAGTCATCGATCGGCTGCCTCCTGCACACCCCTGACTGGGGATTGAGCCTGCAACCCGGGCATGTGACCCGACCGGGAATCGAACTGAGACCTCCTGGATCCTAGGTCGACGCTCAACCACTGAGCCATTCTTAAGGCAACTACTTGAAGGTGAATTTCAGCCAATCAGGCGAGGAGGAAGAAAACCTCAAAAGGCAAAAGGACTCGAGGTGAACACTGACGACATTTAACTGAGAATTACGACTAAAACAAATGTATCAGGACAACAGACCAGGATGTACATTATACACCCTGATGTTACAGAATGACACACAGAGTAGTAATTGATAGTGGAGAAACGAAAGAAGGTGGGATGCTAAGTTCACCTTATAGGCAACAGCTGAGGGTCAAGAGGTGTCATCTAAAGAGGGCAAATCATCCAACAGAAGCGGAAGTATATTTAATAATTTAAAAGTAAACATTAAAGGGATCGTGTTGAGAGGGAGATGCCATCGCCCACGATAGGGAAGTAATAGATACTGCTTAAAGCTAGAACACTAAGCTGTTATGTACGATTATAATTATAAAAACCCCTAAGATAAAAATACAAAACTCCTCAAGTATCAGAAAAAAGACACACACAAATATTATAAGACAAAAAATGCTGCAGGAGAGAAGTAATTATAGATCACCATATGATCAGTTGTGAAGAGCCCTTACCTAGGCCAAGAAATGCAAACGCTCGCTTCTGCTCTAATTAAACTCTAGTGGGAGGACAGGAGGACAGGGAGAGAGCCCTTCTCCCGTGGAGTGGATGCAAGAGAGCTAGTTCCTCACCTCCCATGTCCCACTGTAGGAAGTCAGGACACAATTCCCAGAACTGGGAATTCAGGCAGTGGCTATACAAGCGAGATATTCAGAGTCACGGAGGTAAATATCAAAATAACCATCAAAAGGGAATAAAGTGGTTGCCTTGGGGAGATGGGAAACTGCTGTTTTTTGTTAACAAACAAACTTTCCAGAACATTTATATGGTTCTTTCATGGATAACTTTAATAAAAAGTACAATTTTTAAAAAGGAATTTGAGTGCAACTGAGCAGTCTGAGCGTCATTGACCGATTCATGTTCTGACTTTTCAATCTAACCTTTCGCGAGGTCCTCTCAAACTGAAGGCTCCCAAGTCTCTCACTGTTTTTATTTTTTTATGCTTCAGGATATGGCAACAGAAGCCACTTACTGAATTTTTCGCTTTTTAAATTGATTTTGAGAGAGAGAGGAGGAGAGAGAGAAAGAAGTGTTCCACTTATTCATGCATCATTGGTTGATTCTTGTATGTGCCCTGACCAGGCATCGAACCCGCAACCTTGGTGTCTCAGGATGACGCTCTAAGGACCTGAGCTACCCGGCCGGGTGCTGTTCTTCATCCCTCTCTGTCTTTTATTGAAATCCACTACAACCACTGCGTTAATGTGACAGTGTTACATAAGCCTCCTTGCAAACTCAAGCTGCTGTGTACTCTGTGAGGACAAACGTTTGACAAGAGCCATTACTCAGGGTGGCCTGCCGAGGAAACGAGATTAGCAAGCAAATGGATACCTATGGTGGTGATGACAGTTCCAGCAAAGAAAAAGGCACTTCCGAGGTCCCAGTGGCTGCTGTTGTTGGAGGAGTTTCCTATTGGACTTACTCCTGCGTTGTCAGCATCAAGGGCATGCTGCAAAGAAAGTGAGAAAGCAGGAGACTCGGTTAAAAAAGGTAAAAAAATAATTTCCCTGCTCAAGAACCTGCAGTGACCTACAGAGGGCTGGCTACTCAAATGAGGGTACAGTCACAAAGTGAAACACTACACACCCACTAATTAAAACTAGAGCATGAGTTGTAAGTGGGGAAAAGCTAGGGTATAATCGTCTGGTGCCATTTATGTAAAATTTTCAGGCGCAGATTTATGCAGTCCAGCCTGGGTTATGCAAATTGCATACATATTGCTTTGCATAGACTACATAGAAAGATGTCTAAAAGATTCTCACCCAAAGCGGTCATTCCTGACAGACAGGGTTTCGGTTGCTTTTGCCTCTTTTCTGCTTTGTTAGAATGCCTTACACTGAGCTTGTTGCAGGAGTGCAGGAGGGAGGAGCTTGGGTTCCTGGGTCAGACCACCCTGGCTCTGCCTCTTATCACTTCAGAACCTTGGGCAAGTTACTCTAACCTCTCTGAGCCTAAATTTCCTCCTATGAAAACTGGGGATGGTAATACCTTCCCCACGGAGTTGTTGTGAGGCTTAAATGAGACGGTCCGTGTAACGCACTCTGCTCAGTGTCCTGCACCGAGTTTAACGGATAGCCAATGTTATGACTGTCATTTCACTGTCCCCCCAACACAGAGACACATAGTATTCTTTTTAAAAATAGATGACAGAGACTCCTTGTTGACTACTGGGTTTGGAATTCCGTACACCTTAAAATTCCCAAGAAATTATCCACATTGATGATTCACCCTCATGTCAGGCTACCGAAGCCTCCCGCTGGGGCAGGACGCTCCATGGGACGGTCCCTCACACTCTGGACCTTTGCTCATGCCCTCTCGTAAAGTGCTCCTACTTCAGGGTCTAATCCAGGCCCGCTTCCTTGGGAGCCATGTGCAGAATGAAGTGAAAATCTCTCAGCAGCCCTTCTGAGCTGGGCCCGGCCAACCCCGGCTAGGCCAGAGGAGAGGGGAGGAAGGGACAGGAGGGAGTTTTGTCAGGAGGTGACAGACACAGAGCTACTTCTAGAACACTAGAGACTCTGTTCCTGGAATAACCCTGTGTGGAGCTGACAGGACACAATTAAGTATTGAAATGTGATTATACTTATCCTAAGTAATGCCCTTTAAGCTTTGTTGGGGAAGCTTTGTTGGGGTTGCCACAAATTAGATTACAAGTGACAAAGTCAATCACCCTTAAATGTTGCCTTCATGATTCTGGGATATTATAAACTCTCTAGACCAGGGATCAGCAAGATTTCATTATAAAGCATCAGATAATAAATATTTTAGGCTCTGTGGGGGCGCCTATGATTTCTGTTGCATATTTTTGTCTTCATTTTACAACCCTTTAAATATGCAAAGACCATTCTTAGTTCATGTGTTGCACAAAAACAGCATGCGGGCTGGACCTGGCCGAACCCTAGACAGTTGACTGGACAATAGAAAAAAAATCCCTCTTGTTTAAGTCTTTAGTTGGTTCTTTCCTGCCTCTAAGAACATGAAATTCTATGCTGGCCACTGTTTCTAACGTAAACCCCGGCACCCTAGAATTTAAAATCCAGCTGCCTGGGATGCGTATAGGCTGTCTTTGCCGATGGTTGAAATTGGCCTAATTGACAACAATCATTTATTCACTAGGGACTCTGCTCTGCTCTGCTGTAGAGAAAAGACAGATGGTGAGTCCTTTCTGCTAGTAAAATAATCCATTTTCACTCTGCTGTGAATGCCATCAGACCCAGCCACAGGCCTCAACTAGTGTTTATCTCCTCATTTTCTATTCAGCTCTGATGGGCCCACCTGGAAATAGCACCTGGGAACAGCTCTAGGCCTCAGGCACTTGGGTGACCTCAGATCACACCATCAATACCTAATATTTACAGCTTTTGTGAAGCAGCAAGGAGAGCTTGGTTTCAATCAGTTCTCCCTGTGCTGAGTGTTGCATACAAACATCATAAGCAGACCCCATGCTGCATATAAAATACAAATTTGCAGCAAAGACAAGCAGAGATGACTATTTATTTAATCAAAAATTCCGAAGTAAGATTCCTTCTCATGTTTTGTTTTTTTCTGAATTATGAAACTTATAAAATATTTAATGTTTACATATATTACCTTCAAGGAAAGTGCTTATCGGTTGAGAGGAAAGAAAACTAACATTTGTTGAGTGCTCGCGCTGAGGTGCTATAGAAGTTCAGTTTTATCCTTAGTACAACTTGCAAAAAAGTAAAATTATCCCCCACTTCAGTGGTAAGAAAACAGGCTCAGGTGACACAGCCAGGAAGTAAATTCAGAATGCAAACCCTGGCTGGACCAAAGCCATGGTTTTGCTCTTTCCTCTATGTGTGGTACCCAGAACACAGTCCTCTGCCACAGCAATGCTCGCCTCCAGACAGAGATGAGGGGAAAGGACTGCCATTGTCTAAGAATTTAGGCAGAAGGGACCTCCCAAGGGATGAATTCTAATTAGACGAATTCCTTGGAAGTGGAGGCATCGAACTTTATATGGGCTCTTGGAGCTGGTGAAAGCTTAACTGTGTTGCATTAAAAATTAAATTTAAAAATAAATAAAAATCGGGAAAGGCTGATTTTATACCCTGAGAGGGTGGGAACAGAGAAAAGAGAGAGAAAGCCCTGAAAAAGGAGGAAGGGAAAAGAAAGAGTCAGTTGACGTGGGAGGCTCGAGGTCAGTTCCAGCATTGCTCAGGACTTTTGAAGAACACACCCACCCAGCATCCAACTTTAACTTGCTTTACGTATGATGTAATTGCCTCTCTTGCTCCCCCAAATCTTCAGTAAAGTGGGCTATACACACAAATGCCTTTGGGAAGTCGTTTTGTGGAAATTAAGGATTGTCATCGGCACAGCGGGGCCAGAGTGTGATTTCAAACCAGAAGTAGGAAGGAGAAAGGTAAGCCCTTCAACGAGTCACTGAGCTCTTCCTAAGGCTTTGGACAACCCCCAGTCCCAGGAGTGAGGTTTGGTTCCATCTAGACCTGATGAGGCAGAAAGACCCCAACAAACCACCAGTGTTAAAAAGAATCAGCAAACTCGGGGTATGGACATACAGGGAAAACCCAGTACAAGCAGCTGTTATCGCTTGAATTAATAGCATCGTTTTCAGTTCAATAAGAATATTTCTGAGTTTATAGTTCTAACTTTACTCATCTTCTAAAATATTTTCCAACGATCTTAATTGAACTCAAGAAAGCGTTTTAAATGAAATGCATTTGCTCTTAAGCTGCTTTTTTCTCTTTCCCCCCTTCTCCCTGCATTCAGGCTGCAAAAGGGGAGACACCCCAGCCCATTAGAAAGGTCTGAGCACACAGGCAGTGGTAAAGATGTGACTGAGCTCTGTACTGTTTGGCTTGAAGATCAGACAAAACTCTC